TCTTATTAATGAGCTCCTGAATCAGGGGGAGTAGGTACTTGTTTTTGACAGTACCCTTATTGAGACAACAATAATCCTAGACTAGACAGAGCTTCCTATCTTTCTTTTTGACAAAGAAGAAAGGGGAGACTATAAGGGACTTTAAGGGTCAGATCTGACTGTTCTGAAGATTTTCCTAAAGGAACTTATTGAGCACCTCTTACTTGTCTCTGTTGAGCAGGTAGACCTTACAATCCTTAGGTTGGAAACTCTTGGTCAATTCAATTGTATAGTCCTAGGGACAGTGTTTAGGAAGCTGGTCAAATTCCTCTTTACTAAAGACTTTAGAAAACTCTTGGACAAAATCCAGTAGGCTAGGTCTACATGTGTTCCAGAGTAGAGTTGTTCTAAGAGGGTTCTGGACTGGTTCTGTCTCAAACATCCTTCAGATTGACTCTGTTCTACCTTAACTAGAATATGTATCCACATATTTATCCTAGTCAAAGAAGAACAACTAGTCACCTTCATCAGAACTGTTAGTAACATTAGAAGTGTCTGTATCTACTCAGAACAGTAGTGTAAGGTAGCTGTAAGACTCAGAACACTAATCAAACACAAGTGTCTGTTCTAACCAGTCAATAGTAGGGTTGTAAGCCTTAAGCCATTCAAATCCAATGAAGATGTCTGTCTTTCTGAGGTTAGTGACTCTAAACTCAATACTTTCCTTATAATCCTGAATAGTTATCCACAGTTGGACAAACTCAGTAATCTAACTATTCTGGTTCAGGGTTCTGTCTACATTGTATACTAGGATTAGAAGTGGAACATGTTGAGTAGGGAGGTGGTGTTCCTGCACAAAAGCCTTATTAATGTATGAACCAGTACATTTACTGTCTACCAGAACTATTGTTCAGATCTGGGGGGATCCTAAGAAGGGAGCTAAGAGGACAGGAACTTAGAGCTAGTGTCTAGAATGTTCTCAGATGAACTACTACTTACTCTAAAGGGAATGTACAGCTTGTACAGTCTTGTTGTCTAAGAGGGTAAGTATATGTACTAACATTTCCTTATTAACCTCTCTCTTTCAACAAGGACAGACTCATGTCCTCAGCTGTGAACTCAGCTGAGACTATCCCTACTTAATACTACAGACAAACTACTAAGTAGTAAACAGGGCTAGGTAGTGTTCTGAACATTCTAAGATCTTAGAATGTAGAAGTAGTAGGTTAGATT